TTGAGTTATTTGAATACAGAAGCCTTCCAAGCCCTTTTTGGTAGCTTGGGCTGTTGTAGCAAAATATTGCAGACTGAGTGGCTTAAACAACAAACATTCATTTATTTCTTACAGTTACTGAGACCAGAAATCCCAAGATCAAAATGTCAGCAGATTCAGTTCCACCATCTCACAATGTCCTCAGATGGCATCCTTAGTGTCATTTAGTAGTCTTCCATGTTTCCATTACAGCTTACAAAAATCAGTGTTAGAGTTCTTGTTAGATGGCACGGTGGTTTCACTTTTGCCTGGAGGGCAAATCCTAAGTGTTATTTCTGGAGTGTTAGAACTGGGTCATTGTTACTTTCTTCCCCTATGGTATTAAGCTAGTAAGCATGGTTTCTTCATCTGTAAAATCGAAATGATAATAATAACTTCATAAAGCTGGTATGAAGTTTTTAATGCCTGATACATAGTAGCACTGTTTAATGGCTAGCCATGATTGTTAATGGCTCTGTGAATGAATCAGACTAACTTGAGGTCAAAGATAATACCTCAGTTGTCTCCTCCAAAGAATATATTCTGACAAGGACCCTGAATATGATAAATTAACATCAAACAAGACCTGTGTTTAAAAGAACACTCTCAGACTGGATAACATTGGGTTCAATATATAATTTTTTAGAATATTTTATTTATTTATTTGAGAGGTAGAGTTACAGACAGTGAGAGGGAGAGACAGAGAGAAAGGTCTTCCATCTGCTGGTTCACTTCCCAAATGGCTGCAATGGCTGCAGTTGAGCTGATCCAAAGCCAGGAGCCAGGATCTTCGGGTTTCCTACGTGGGTACAGGGAATCAAGCACCTGAGCCATCTTCCCCTGCTTTCCCAGGCCATAAGCAGAGAGCTGGATCAGAGGCGGAACAGCTGGGACATGAGCTGGCACCCATAAGGAATATGGGTGCTGCAGGCATAGGCTTAATCTACTATGCCACCGTACTGGCCCTGGTACAGTATATAATCATACTTAACGATCAAAGAAAGTTTTATCTTCTCTAAGCTCCTCCAGAGAAATAGAATGACATCAAGCACAATAATGGCCACAGAAGCACCTTTTGTTCATGTTTCTTTATTTTTATTTTTATTTTATTTTATTTATTTTTAGACAGCCAGAGTGGGCAGTGAGAGAGACAGAGAGAAAGGTCTTCCTTTCCCGTTGGTTCACCCTCCAGTGGCCGCTGCGGCCAGCGCGCTGCAGCCGGCGCACCGCGCTGATCCAAAGCCAGGAGCCAGGTACTTATCCCGGTCTCCCATGGGGTGCAGCGCCCAAGGACTTGGGCCATCCTCCACTGCACTCCCTGGCCACAGCAGAGAGCTGGCCTGGAAGAGGGGCAACCGGGACAGAATCTGGCACCCCGACCGGGACTAGAACCCGGTGTGCTGGCGCCCCAAGGCGGAGGATTAGCCTAGTGAGCCTCGGCGCCGGCCACCTTTTGTTCATGTTTCATTGTCATTGTAAGATTTTTTTTATAATCTTTTTTTAATTTAATTTTATTTTTTATTTATTTATTTTTTTACAGGCAGAGTTAGACAGTGAGAGAGAGAGACAGAGAGAAAGGTCTTCCTTTCATTGGTTCACTCCCCGAATGGCTGCTATGGCCGGCGCTGCGCCGATCCGAAGCCAGGAGCCAGGTGCTTCCTCCTGGTCTCCCATGCAGGTGCAGGGCCCAAGCACTTTGGCCATCCTCCACTGCCTTCCCGGGCCACAGCAGAGAGCTGGACTGAAAGAGGAGCAACCGGAACAGAATCCGGCGCCCCAACCAGGTCTAGAACCCGGGGTGCCAGGGCTGCAGGCAGAGGATTAGCCTAGTGAGCCATGGCGCTGGCAATTGTAAGATTTTGAGGTATGAGTATCCTTCAAAAGTATTCTATTTTTGCCGGCGCCGCGGCTCACTAGGCTAATCCTCCGCCTAGCGGCGCCGGCACACCGGGTTCTAGTCCCGGTTGGGGCGCCGGATTCTGTCCCGGTTGCCCCTCTTCCAGGCCAGCCCTCTGCTGTGGCCAGGGAGTGCAGTGTAGGATGGCCCAGGTGCTTGGGCCCTGCACCCCATGGGAGACCAGGAAAAGCACCTGGCTCCTGGCTCCTGCCATCGGATCAGCGCGGTGCGCTGGCCGCAGCGCGCCGGCTGCGGTGGCCATTGGAGGGTGAACCAATGGCAAAAGGAAGACCTTTCTCTCTCTCTCTCTCTCTCTCTCACTGTCCACTCTGCCTGTAAAAAAAAAAAAAAAGTATTCTATTTTTGATAAATTATATTATATCTTACAGTTTATATGCGAAAAAAGTTTCCTCTTTTTAACGTTTAGTAGCATATTTGTGTGAAGGAAAGATTTTTATCATTTTTCCTGAAGAGCAAACTGAGTATTTATGTAGTAACTAACTGCTGAAAGGGACTTTATGTAGGAGACACTCAGGAAATACTGTTGAAACAATGATTGACTTGTCAGTGTAAAACAACTAGCAAGTACTGGCTCTTTGACTTCCAAGCAATTTAAAGCTATAAATATTTTTTCTCATCAATTTACCCTGCCCCACAGCTGTCCAGGATTGTGGAAATAGACTTTTTAAAATAATGTACTTCTAAAATAGTTTGGCAGTCAGTGCTGGTCCTGGCAAACCTGTCTGCAATGTTATTGCACAAATCTGCTAGTCAAGATTAAGAAGCTTAATAAGGCAAGGACCAAAAATATTAAAACATATGCATGGATACATATGTAAAATGAAAGGCGGATCCCTATATAGTAATCAGAACTTGTAAAACTCTGAGCTCCTTAGCCTGGCATTTAAAGCCCTCTATTATGTAGTAGGTTCATAGTAATTTTTCAGGTTCTTTCTTTCTTTCTTTTTTTTTTTCTTTTTTCTTTTTTCTTTTTTTTTTTTTTTTGACAGTGAGAGAGAGAGATAGAGAGAAAGGTCTTCCTTTTGCTGTTGGTTCACCCTCCAATGGCTGCCGTTGTTTTGTGTAAATGTAAACACAAATCAGATCTTACCGGTTCCTTTTGTGAACCCTCCAGGGACTTTCCTTTGTAGTTACTACAAGGAGTTACATGATCAGACCCCTGTTAACTTTTGGTTATCACAGCAGCCTCAACTTAAATTTTACTTCCTTAATGCCTTCCCCATTCTGTTGAAAGTAATTCTTTTCACTCTGCCTTTCTGCTAACTTTTATCTTACAATCCTGTTTTATTTTCTTCATATCATGTAATATTTTCTAAAATTATTCATTCATTTGACTTGATCATTGTCTGCTTTACTAGAATTAATAAGTGTATGAAAACAAGGACTATGTTTTTCTTTTTCATCATTGTATCTGTACCAACTAGGAAAGTAATGAACGTGGATAAGTGCTAAATAATTGAAGGAACATGTTGTGGTCTTCCATTTGTTATTTCCTTGTCTAAAAAATGCCACCTGTCTCACCCAAAGAAAACAAAAAATTTTATCTCATCCTAGTGATGAACTCTAAAGTTCTTTCTCCTTATCATTCCTGTTTCAACTTGAGCATCTTTCTCTCACAGAGGCAGAGTTAAGCATTTCCTTCCTAGGTTTCATTTTACTTCTTTTTTTCAGTTTTCTCAATTGTATTGTTTTATTATGTGCATACTATAACTGTGTGTGTCTGTCTGTATTAATACTCTATGAGTTTTCCATGGATAGGAGTTGTATTATTTGGGCCAGATACCTTAGTATCTGGAATGATGCAATACATCAAGTTAGTGTTGATAAACAAATGACTCAAAATCTTAATTCCCATGGTGGTTTATCAGAAGACAACACTGCTGTGTGCGATTCAAAGGTGAATAAGCATTTTGCATTTTGGAAATTCACAACTTATTCATTACTCAGTAAATACTATCCACAGTGTGTGAAACATTATTCTTAGGTGCTAAGGATACAATAACAAATGTCCTTGCCTCAAGAAATTCTATTTCAGTTGGGTATAATTTCCCTTGATTTTGATCAATATTTCATGTTTTATATTGGTGCTTCCTAGGAATTTTTAAACTGCAATTAACCTGTGAACTCTGAGGGAGACAATAGGACAGGCAAAGAAACTGCTTGGTTCTAGCCATTCTGATATTTGTTTATTGCATAGTTACAGATCGGCAAAGGAGGACTGTTGAAGGCCAGAACTATGTAGCAGTACCTCAGATATTTTCCTCATAATTTAGGCATTGCAAAGTTACACTTGAGGCAGGCAGAACAGATTATTTGGACACAGAGGAGATATATTTTCAGTACTGTTGAGAATAATATTTTTTAATACTGATATTAAAAACAGAACTGTTACTTGTGTTTCTTAATTTATGTGGTTAATTTCATATATTCTTCATGGTTCAGGTACATTTCTAATATTTTGATACTTTGGCACAGAGTTTAAAAATTTTTCTCTCTGTTTTACAGTTTTGAATTCTTTATATTCCTGAATATTAAGTGAAAGCACAATTATTTTGAAGGACTTTTCATATAGCAAATAAATTCTGTAGGTTTCACTGTCATCTGAATTTTGACTGAAACTACATTTCTATTTATGTACAGCATTCGTTGAATATAAAGAATTGCTTCCTACTTGATTTCTTTCTGAACAGCTATTTCACTTGGAATTGAACCAGAGCCTCTTGAATAAACATTTAGTGGCATATTTGTAATTTCATAATTGACAGTTGGTTCTCTCGGAAAAAATACATATGCAGACAATAGCTATTGTAAAAAATTCTTATATGTGCAAAGTATTTAGAATTGAAGTTTAAGGACACCTTGGTAGAGAAGGAGTTAACGGGTTAGCTCCCCTTGGTTGTTCTCAGCATGCTCTCTTGCCTTTAGGAGCTGCAAAGATGATAACATTGGGCCCAGACAGGCCTGTGTGGAGGTTAGGGTACTCCTGGGGTTTTTACAGCTAGCTGTAAAGCAAGCCAGAACTTGTTCATCTCTAAGTTCCTTGTTTTTCTTTCAACCCTTTCAGTGCCCTGCAGGAGTCATTAAATCAAAACTTCATGCTGATCATCACCCACCGAGAAGTCCAGCGGGAGTACAACCTGAACTTCTCAGGAAGCAGTACCATTCAAGAGGTGAGTTATGTCTCACAGCTAAGGAATAAAGGTAGCTCATTATAGCTAATGTTGACCCTGTTAAAGAGGGCTTATCTGTTCTGGTTGGAAACTCTCTTTATGTTTCATTATTGGGTTTTTAATTTTAATTAACTGGAGCATCAGCGATTACTGTAGATATACTAAATGACTTGACCTAGAAGATAGCTGCTGTAAATGGGAAGTCTTGATAATTCTTAAACTAGTCAATTTAAAACTTCTTTAAAAATAACTCTTTATTATGTGATGTTTCATGATTTCATAGTGATTATTCAAGATATGAGCTTGGAAATTGTTGACAGCATTCATTTTGGAGACTGCTTATATTTTATTTGAAAGGTTCTCAAATATTTATATTATGTAGTATGTTTCTAAAAGGAATTTGAGGAGCTATATCTTAAGCCATGCAATCCCAGCCTATGGCATTAGTAATAAGATCCTATTGGAGACTGTCATTAAGTTCAGAATATCTGGGAAGAATCTATTTATAGCATCAATATTGTTTTCAATGTGGTCAACCAGGGCCACTGTTTCAAAGAAGAACCTCCCTCGAGAGAGAGAAGAGGTACTTTCTTGGTATGCCTTTGGCCCCATCTACCTAAAAGCCAATAAATTATCTCCTGGGGGGAAAAACTGGGACATTGACGTGGACTTGTGTTTGAAAACACGGAAATAATGACTGTTTGTATTACCCCTCAAGTTATGAAAGCCACAGTCCTTTTGTCTACTAATTTTTTTAAAGAAATTCATTTTTAATTTTGGATTATTTCATAAATTTTATCTTAGACAACATTGCTTAAAATAATCACAGATATCACTTTGAAAGAATAAGTCATTTTCACCCTAATCAGAAGTATATGAATTGTTTCAGTAATAGGCTAAACAGTTGATGGTTTCCTTTTCCATATTTTGTCAGTGAATCCCAAGTTCGGAATTTGACATATACAACTCATTCTTTTAAATTAAATTAATTTTTTCATCACTTTAATAGTTTCTTTACTAGTAACTAAAGCTTTTGAAAATCACATTATTTTTGACTACTAAAGTTAATTTTTTTCCCAGGATGCTAAAGATATAAAATACCATGTCATTTTTAACCTGTATAATAGATATTCTGTTCTCTAAGTTTTCAATTTTAATTTTTGGAAGAATCACATTTTGTTTTTACATTAGATATAATGTTTAACTATGGTTCTACTTTGGAGTTATTACAGGATCTTTGTGATAGTACAGTCTAAATTGTGTGTGTTACTATAAACAAAGAGACATTTTCAAAATCCTCCAAGTTTCATAAATTTCATTCTATTGTTAATTTACTTTTTTGAATTGAAGAACAGTATAATACATGATAAATATAGAATGCCTTCTTTTTCTTTCTTGTTGGAATTTTCCTTTTTTTAAAAAAACATTGCTAGTTTCTATAATTTGAGTGTTTTTCAACTTTCTCCCACAAGAGGGCAGAAAGGACTATTAAGCTGATAGCCTAAAGATGCCATTCAGTGTTTTCAAATTAGCTTCTCTTATATTAACAAAAAGGAGCATAATGGCCAAGTTATTGTTTGATTTACAGATAATTGGCATATTGCAGGGAGGAGACTTAATTTCACCCTTTTAAATTAAACAGGGAGATTTAAAAAGACATAAAATATTCATTAATGTTCGGTGATTATAAAGTAGTGGCATATATTTATTTTGCCTTTATTACTGTTTCGATGGGAAAATACTGCAAATATTTCCGAAATCGAGTTGGCCATACTGACAAGTTGAAATGTTTAAGCAGCGTTAATGCAATCTGCTCACACCTGATATCCTATGCAGAATGATTCAAAATGACTGCATCAATTATTAAAAGAAATATTTAAAATTCTGTAAATGTGCCATTGTACGCCACAGTTGACTGAAACTGTTCTCTGTGGACTGCCATTTAGGTTACCAAATATATTTTAAGCTTCAGGGACTTGAAAATAGTACATCTTTTTTCATACCACTTTCTAAATATATTTGAAGAATATTCCAGAAATATTTTTGCAGAGACATATCCTGCATCTTGGCAAGAATTAGTATCTTTTTTCTTCTTTTTAGTTAATTTAATGTTTTGAAATTCTGGTTGCCAGTGGAGAAACTCCAGGTTTTTTCTAATGTCAATTGCTGATAATGTGAGTAGACAGGTACATATAGGTTCTAGTCTGTGTAACTTAGGACAAAAATGTGAATCTCTTCTCTAAGCCTAGTTCTGTAACTTCTCTTCTTCAACCTGTGATGGAGGTAGGGATGGTTTCAGTTGTATGAGGTACTCTTTATCTACAGCACTGTGATCCATAGTGATACTTAAATATGTACAATTTCTCTTGCTGGATGATTGGAAATCAGTTTAGTTGTACAAGATAAAAATATAATCTTGAAGTAGTATTGCATTTTTATTTCATAAATGATAATACTTTTGCTGATAATGTGGAATCTTAATGATGTCATATATCCTAAATTGTAAATTAATCTCTGTCACCAGTTTCTGGAGTACTAATAAATTCAAGAATGAATTCTGACCAATACAAGATATTAAAGGAAAGGAACAAATTTTTAAAAAACAACAAATATCCCTAATCATTTTTTCCATTAGAGTATGTCATTATCGTGTTTCAAGTGAAAAAAAGTATTTTAGTTTTTGAAAGCTTTGCATATTTAAATTTGTAATATTCTTTCCCAAGAGGGAAGTTTCTGTTTAACAAAGAGGAGTTGAAGTTGAGAGGCACTATGATTTCAACTTTTAATTAGACAAAATACATTTTTTAAAATACCACATTAGAAAAACCGAACTAAGATGTAGTTTGAATGTCAAATAAACTCTTCCATGACCATATGGTCATGCAAGTTGTGGTGCTAAACCAATAGTTGTGTAAGTGTTTGTTCTTTCTGGCTCTGTGGTCTGTTGCCTCACAATGTATGGCTTGTGCCATTTGGGTGCTCTAGCTTTTAATTTAGCTAATTATTAAGGGTTTTTGGTTTTGATTTTGTTTTTTATTTTAAGCTCTTTACAAATCCTACTACTTACATTGCCCTCTTAAATTGAGAAGGCAGTGATGGTATGAAAAGGTCAGAATGGAGAGAGTTGCAAGTAGTCATAAGAAAAATCCTTTGTCTTTTCCTTTATGACAAATGGCTTATAAAAATTATCAAATAAGATGACAATAACTTTGTAACTATCTTTTCCCACCTTTTTGTATCCTAAATTGATTACTTTTCACACACTTTAAGAGAGTGAATTTCCTTGAAAATTTAAACAGGGTTACCTTATTTTAATGAATTTTCTACGATGAGAATTCAGATTTTTAAGTATTTAATTGTACAGATTCTAGTAATTTTGTATTAAACTCTGAGAGGTCTGTGGTATATAGATGCAATTGCTATGGGTTATATTAAAAGGAAAAAAAGGTTTCTTTTTCCTTCTGAAGATCCTAAACCCAGGTGTTGTAAAGGATATAAAGTCCCTGAAATTGAGCCAACTTTTCTTGGAAATTAAATCTTTGTTATTCCTTATTTTTGTAGATGTCTTCCAAACTTAAAAGAGTATACACATGAACCAAAATTAGAATGATAAAATCTAAGCATTTTTAGTGCTGAATCATGGATTATCTTATCATCATGCTGGTCTATTACAAGAAGCTCTATGAATAGCTATTGGAATTATTTAAATCTTCTCCCAAGTTTCATTTTATTTCCAGAATCCTTAGTGTTGATTTTGTTCTTAATGGGAATGAAAGAAGAAATTTGACAGGCTATAGAGAAATATGTAACAGACAGTAGTAAAACACACTAGTAGTACTAGTGATTAAAATTAGGAAACTAATAGAGTTTGATTTAATATCAAGAAATGAACTAAACACATAAGTAATACCAGTCCTTTCAAAATTCATGGCTATAAATAATTATGAAATGATGAGGTTACCTTGCTGATTTTGAAAATTTGATCCTCATGTTAGGTTTTGTATGTTTTACTTTTCTACTTGCTACTTTTTCAACTTGCTTGACATATATTTTGGACTATTCCCTTTTAACACTTTTAACCAGTAACAATAATTAAATATGTAGTCTTCATAGATTGTACTAATGTGCTATTTTCTAATAGTAGATTGACTGTAATGTCTTAGGTAGCATTGCTTTTCTGTAAATGTTTTATGTATTGGGTGTTTTTATAGTTTACTGTTTGTTTTCTAGTGTGGGGGGAGTACTGGCATAGAACTGAAGAGTGGGGAAACTGAAAATATGCATATGCAAGAGAGTAAATGCTTATTTAATTAAAAGTTTAAGTGGTTTGTTTTTAGTGCAGGATAAATGGGATATAGTAGTCCAATTAGAATGAGGAGTTTTAATTAGCATATATCATAGTTGATTTTTTATAAAAATTTGAAATCACAAATGACATCTTAGCAAGACTGAAAGAGATAATTTCTTAAGCATCTGGCCAATGAATTCAAATCTTTATTTAGTTTTCAGAAAAAGAAATTTTTGAGTTTCTTTTAAATATGCATATATACTATTAGTTTCAAGATGCATTTTAAAACTGAGATCTCTTTATATCATGCTACATCAAATAAACAAACCAGTAATGATCATTTTATAAATATTGAAGTTTTCTGTGATTTGTAATAAATTATCCCCTTAGGAAATATGTTTAAGTATTATTTACTGTGTCATCTTTGGAACTGAAAAGACTTTTTTCTACTCTGTAACTATTTTAAAGTAATTTGTGTTGGAAATTTTTTCAATTCATATAAGTATTTCTTCACCTGCATTTCAAGAAGATAGAAACAATGAAGTTTTGTTGAGAATTAAAGACAGTTTTTTATCCCTTTGTTACTTAAGATATGTGCATCCTAATATCTTAGCCAGGCACAGGCACATTTCATAAGCTGATTTGTGTGTTGGTAGTTTTGAAATGCCTAGGTTAAGAGAAATTATGTTCTGTTATCAGAAACTAATAAACA